TGGTTTTCTTAATGTTAAACAGTGGATTTCTTACAGGGAGTTTTGCAGAAAAGATATGAGAAAGAACAAAAATTCGTCATTTTCTAACCATGAGCACATCCAGATGACCCCAATTGACCCAAGATTTCCAAAAATGGTGGTCCTTGTGAGAAACCTTCCTGATTCAATCAAGAAAAGATTGGAGAATGGTGATGAAACAATTGAAATGGAGTTGTTTGCTGCGCGTATTGATGAATGGGATGAAGAAAGTTCTGCTCCCCAAGCTGTCATCTTGAATGCTTTTGGGCGGGGATGTGAATTACAGCCCCAAATTGAAGCAATTTTATTTCAAAATGCAATTAATTCATCTGAGTTTTCTCCTGAATCACTTTCCTGCCTTCCTCATCTCCCCTGGGAGGTGCCTCAGGAGGAATTCCAAACTAGGAGGGATCTCCGAAACTGGTGCATATTTACTATCGACCCTTCTACTGCCACTGATCTAGATGATGCTCTCTCAGTTGATAAATTATCCAATGGAATTTACAGAGTTGGTATCCACATTGCTGATGTGTCACATTTTGTTTTACCTGGCACACCCTTAGATGAAGAAGCTCAATCTAGATCAACAAGTGTGTATATGTCACGGAGGAAATTACCAATGCTACCTCCTTTGCTTTCAGAGAATGTTGGTTCACTTAACCCAGGAGTAGAGAGACTTGCATTTTCAATTTTCGTGGACATGAATCATGCTGGGGATGTTGTTGACCGATGGATTGGCCGCACTGTGATAAGATCATGTTGCAAGCTTTCTTATGAACATGCTCAAGACATTATTGATGGGAAATTTAATTTGGAAAGTGTGGACATTCTAGGAAATGGTCGTCCTCAGCTGCATGGCCATTTTGAATGGTTTGATGTACTTAGGTCTGTTAAAGATCTTCTCGAAATTTCCAGAATTTTGAAGGAGAGGAGGTTTAGTGATGGGGCTCTTCAGCTTGAGAGTTCTAAAGTTGTTATTCTGTTTGATGAATATGGAGTTCCGTATGATAGCATGCATTCTGAACGGAAGGAATCAAATTTTCTTGTGGAGGAGTTTATGCTTTTAGCAAATAGAACAGCGGCTGAAGTGATATCTAGAGCTTTTCCTGATAGTGCATTACTGCGGAGGCACCCGGAACCTAACCTGCGCAAACTCAGGGAATTTGAAGCATTTTGTTCCAAGCATGGTCTAGAATTGGATACATCTTCTTCTGGTCAGTTCCAACTTTCATTAGAGAAAATCAGGGAAAAGCTCAAGGATGATTGCATTCTGTTCAATATTCTCATGAATTATGCTACAAAGCCAATGCAACTGGCTGCTTATTTTTGTAGTGGGGAATTGAAAGACAAAGAAAATGATTGGGGTCACTATGGGTTGGCAGTTCCTCTGTACACACATTTCACTTCACCGCTACGTCGGTATCCTGATATTGTAGTGCATCGTACACTAGCCGCGGCTATAGAAGCTGAGGAGTTATTGTTGAAACATCGGAGAATGTTGAATAATTTTAACAGGGGAGATGAATGTAGAATGAAATGTTTCACTGGTATTTATTTCGATAAAGATGCTGCTGAGTCCTATGAAAGTAGGGAAGTGTTATCAGCTGCATCAATGAAGCATAGAATTCCCTGCTCTGAATTGCTTACTGATGTTGCTGCTTATTGCAATGAGAGGAAGCTGGCCAGTAGACACGTCAAGGATGCTTGTGACAAGCTCTACATGTGGGCCCTGCTGAAGAAAAAAGAGGTATGATATTTTATTTTAGCTTTCTTTCTCTCCTTTGGTTTGTTAATGATATCATACTGCATTATGTGACTGATAATGATGCTTGTAAGATGGTAAATCTATCTTCCTGAATCCTATTAAGATGGTAAATCTATTTTCGTCGTTGCTATTTAGCTGAAGAGCAGTGTGTCACAAGTTTGTGGCTCTCATTTCATCACCTGTAACCTGGTAGAGAATGATGATTCTATAAATAATTTGATGTGCCAAAATGAACTGATGAGCTCCCATCTTGTATCAATTTGTGTTGTTTCATAGTGACCATGGCATCATCTGATTCCCTAGCATCTAGTGTTAAAGAGACTTATAGCATCTTCTTAGCAATCCTTGTCTTGAATCTTCTGTCTTTGTTCTAATGGTTTGTAAAAGAGGTGGACCTATGATCATTTTGGAGTGCTCTCATTTTGCACTTTACGCATTGGATATGTGTGTATGTATATATATATATATATATATATATTTTCTGTGTTTAATATTTGGGTTGTCTTTTTTCTGGTTTCAGATTTTATTATCAGAAGCAAGAATAATGGGTCTAGGACCTAGATTCATGTCCATTTATATCCACAAGCTAGCTGTAAGTAGCTTTCTAACTGTTTTGTATCTTTATGCGACTGTAGTATGAGGATCCATTTGCAATTAACTGTTACACCTACTACATGCCTTCAGGTTGAACGTCGAATATATTATGATGAAGTTGAGGGCTTGATGGTCGAATGGCTTGATGCTACATCCACAGTAGTGCTGACTTTATGTTCTAACAGACGCTCGCTCAGGAGAGGTAGTCCTGGTAAATGTAGGGCGCTTGAAGATGTTGCCTTGGTCATAAGACCTTATGACCTCAAAGCTGAACTGGGTGCAGTTGGAAATAGTACTAATGAAGGTGCTGCAGCCCAAGATGTAGGTGTAGCCACCCATAGTTCTAACGAGAGTGAAATTGATCCTCTTGTTTTCCCCCTGACTCTGCGTGTTCTTTCAACAATTTCTGTAGTACTTCATGCAATTGGGGGTGATGATGGACCCATTGATATCGGGGCAAGGCTATACATGAGCTCATATCTCTGCTAGATTGGGGTTTTGAATCAGTTGACGCACTTGTTCGCAATGAATGGAAATTTACAAAGATCAATGATAACAGGGCTTTTTATGGCAATGGGCAGGCTCTGTTGTAGATACGAAACTAGTGTATAGTCCGAATAGAGTCTTAGAAGAAAATAATAATTTTACAGTTTAATCTCTGCTGATGCTCTATGGGATATGTCTTCTGCCGAAACGTTTTTGTGGGAGGTGTTGATAAGGGTGGGTGGTTGTGTGTGTGGTGGTGGTGGCATTGGCTTTATAGCAGCTGTTTTTAACAGAGCTGCTTTACTGGAAGAGGCCCCTGTTTTTGTTGGCCAGTTCCAGTGTAACTTGGTTAAAATGCGCCCATGGCTGGCGCTTGGACACCGAGTTTCATAGCCGAATTTGTGGTTTAATTTTCTTTTGTGTTATATATTCCTGGACTGCTGCCCAATAAAGTTTTTGGCGTTGGGTGACCAGGATTAGTGGTAAGACATTAGCTATATGTTTGGTCTGTCATAAACGACTGGTAGTCTCCCAGTTGAATCGCATGTATGTTGTCTTTGTGCTCAAATGAAAAAAGGTAACACACTTTTTTATGTTTGTTTATGCAATGAATTATTTTTCTTTCTTTCTGAGTATTTATTCTGAATGAGAGGAGGATCATTAAAATTAAACTAAACATTTGATATTCTTCATGATAAATGTGTGTGTTTTTCAGTTTAAAATTTCTTGGAATCCTTTTTCTATCCGGTTCTCCAACCCTATGCTATCTCATTATCCCATTAATCTTTTAAGATTTATTCCGAGAGAGAGAAGAATTATATAACTATGAATATTAGAAAATTAATATTTTTCGGAAAAAAGAATTATAAAACTATGAACCTTAGAAAATTAATATTTTTGGTCTTAAAAAAATATTATTCTAAGAAAAAGTTAAGATGTCCAATTGCGCAGCCCAACAGTAGGTGCCTTTCGCAAAACAAAAAACAAAAAAAAAACAGTAGGTGCCGAAAGTTTTCGCGGGAAAATCTAAGAAAGAGAAGAAGATGGCGTCAGTTATCGGATGGTACGGACCGCTCATCGACTTGTCCAGGGCGGCGCTTCACGTCGGCGATTACGTTCAGCTTGTCGTCTTCGTCCACAGAACGACTCCTCTTCAGGTGTCGTATCTCTCTGGGACTCTCTTGTCTGCTATTTCCTTTCCTTTCTTTTTCTTTCTTATATTTTTAAAATAAGAATTTTATTTTCTCAAAGTATAAGTTGTCAAAAGGCGGAGAGGTAATCCGAACGGATATCCAAGTGGGAGATGAGACGAGACCGTTCTTCTCCGTATCCTTATGGCAGAAGCCAATGGCATCCATGGCGGTAGCAGGCGACGTCGTTTTGTTACAAAGTGGGTAAAGCTGCAACTTGCAAACTTTAATCTTTTTATTTTATTTTATTTTTTTCAAAATCCAATTAATCTTATACATTTGAATTTTCTTTCTGATATATAGATTCTAGCCTTTGTCAATTAATACTGTCTAATTTGTTTTTGGTGGTATTTTGATTTCAGATGTGAAGATAACAAAATATGGTGATGTTGTTGAGGCCAGAACGCACCACTACTCATCCTTACAATGTCTACTTCACCCTTATGATTCC